AACAAGGCCGTATTCGGCAGCTACAAGAAGGCCTGGCGGGACCTATCCTGGCAGTCCACGGTGCTCGCCTCGCAGTACCTGAAGCCTTCGGCCCCCACCTTCGACGCCTTCGTCGACGTCGGACGCTCGCTCCGGGCGCCGATAGATATCGCGCATCTGGAACTCCACCACCCGCTAACGCCAGACCACACCGCCGCCGTGCAGTTCATGCATGAGAAGATAAACGAAGCGGACCGGATAAAGAACTTCCCGATATACCGGACGCGGCTTGTTTGCTTGGCCTTGGATACGGCGGATCGGCTGAAGGAGGTCGGGGATGTTGAGGAGGTATCCTGGATCGAGCGACTGCTTACGAAGCTAGGCAATGATATAAACTCCGGCTTCTCTAGTATCCTCAACGCGCAAGATGGGGATGGCCCAGCAGGCGCGGATCCTCGTGGTTCGGGGGCTTTGATATGAATTGCATTTTACATCATGAAGATAACTAGAGCGTCGGGCGGGCTTATATGGCATGGTTTGGGTTATGATATCCGGTTTGAGCTGGCGTTTACGACGGATTGAGTAGATACTCATCAAATTAAGTTGAAAATAAAGTATATATCAATCATAAGCACGGCCCTACGGCGTAATTGTGAAATCTAGGATTTTCTTCGTATAAAAAAAGTATGATAGTACCTATTTCATCTCATCCCTACCCAAAATTATCATTAAATCATATAAACTCTTGTATTTATACTGAGAAATACCAATATATAGCTAGGTATCGTATCCCTTCATTATCATCCACTAAAATAACACGAACGAAAATCAAGGGTATCGTACAAGCTAGTACCTATCCATCATCTCTCATACATCCATAATCATATCACAGACCCTCCCTCCTCAAGGCTCCTCCATCTCCATCCCATTAACCACCCTTAGAGCCCTCCTCGGTCCAAGCACAACACTGATGAAATTCGGCTCCCGCCCATCCAACAGCGCCTCAGCCGAGCTCCCGCTCGCCGTACTGCGCGTTGCGCTGCTCTTCGATCGATTCACGCCTCCCGCCCCTCCGTTGCCGAAACCATAGCTATTATCATACCCCCACGCATACCGATCCTCGCTCGGCCGCGGCCCACCCGAGCCAGACGTCCCGGAACTGTGTTCTTCACCGCGCTGGTTACTAGCCGTCCATTTCGGGCCCACCCAGCCGAAGTGCTCGTTCGTCCCATCTGCTGAGTTAGTCTTGCGGAGCTTCTCGCGTAAGCCGGCGGATCCGTTAAAGGGGGAGTTGTTGTCGCTGAAAGGATTATCATCGTCATCGTGAGCGGTGGTTGTGCCGCCGGAGTACCGGTTCGCGACAAGCATGTGCCGCTTGTAGGCCGCGACCTGTCTGCGGTAAAGCCATGCGCAGAAACCGAGGTATAATGCTGCGAGGCCGGCAAGTCCTGCTATCACGCCGGCTGTAATCAAGCCGCCGTTTGTGCCTGAGGACGCCGGGGCGGAGGTGCCAGGGTTAACACCGGTGGCGCCCGGGCTGTTTGTGATGGTTGCGGTGCTCCCTGCTTGTGTGATGGTGAAGACCGGAGGCGTCCCAGTTTTAAACGGACCGTCTGTAGCAGGTCCGGAGGCTGGTTGTGTTGCTGTTGCACCGCCGTCTGAGGAGCCGCCTATGACGGATTGCACTAAGTCGGGCACCTGATAACCGTAGCTACCAGCTAAAACACTGTTGTCTGGGTGCGAGTCTGCAGGATGATCTGCCGCGTCAAAGGAGTCCTTCCATTTTAAGCTTGAAGCGTCGAAGTTGTAGATACCGGGACTGTCGCACGCGATTTCGGTTCCGACATAGCCGCCGATTACGATCATTTGGCCATCTCGGGCTGCGCACTGATGGCCAGCTCGAGCGGGCGGCTGCGTGCTCGTGGTGGTATCTACCTTGATCCAGGTAAATGAGGGGACAGTTAGGATCCATATGTCCGTATATTGAGTTTGGTTGCCGACCGGAAGCAGGTTTTGTCCGCCGTACATGTAGATATTGAACGAGCTGGCGTCGGAAGCCGAATAGATGACCGCGCACGGGTTGACCCGTACCTGAGGTGCTTCACCTGAAGTTTGTTGGTGATACCATGTGCTCGTCTTGATGTCGTAAACGTCGATAATGCTCATAGAGGAGAATGCGTCAGTTGTGTCGTCGTTCCCGACAACTCCTCCACCGAGACCAAGTAGGATTCCATTAGGGCCCCAACCAGGAACATAGACGAGAACGCCGTCGGCTCGTTCGCTAAAACCGTCTTGATTTTGAATGCCACCCCATGTGATGTTACGATAAGCTCCTCCATTGGGGGCACCGGAAGAGCGGAGCGAGTCGACTCCAGAGTTCGCGTATCCGGGATGCGTAAACTCGAGCAAGCTCTTCAGGTAGACACGCCCGATCTGGTTCGACCAACCGGGCGTGGTAGCCCAATCCAGATGACCACCGAAATACCAGCTTACGCCCAGCTCGGGGACAGAAATTCCAGCTCCTTCCGCAGCTCTTTGTACTAGAGCGCCTTCAGGGTCCGAGTAGTTACCAGCTGATGTTTTAGGGTTCTCAAACTCTGACCATGTCGAAGAAGCAACGTCATACATCCATGTGGAAATTGGCGACGGCAGCGCCACGGGGTTATCGGAAAACTCGCCTCCATAGAGGTATAAGCGATTCAGGTCGTTCCAGAGATAGCCAAGTGACACAGATGGAGGACCAGATGGTTGCGGGAGGCCTGTCAGAGCTGGAGAGCTGATATCCCAAGACTTAGTAACATCAAGGACGACGAAGTCGTTATCTAGGTGTATATCAGCACGAGTTCCCTCTGTTTCTCGGAGATTTCACCCACTCCATGTATTTGATTCCTGATCGCTAGTTGTCTTAGATCGGCCACCGTAATAGTATATTGTCCCGTTGATGAGAGCGCCTAACCGAGTTTAATTGCTATCATGCATAAGAAGGTACTGTAATACAGGCGCTTACTTTGGCCGGCCCATCTTGTACAGATACTAGTAGGGCTATTCTGGCGGTCTTCGAGGATGATGGTAGGGGGTAGTTTAGTCACGGCTGCGTCTGCGCCGTTAATTTGAATCTTCTTGCGGCCATTATTAAAACTAATAATTGGAAGAACAATTGCGATAAGTAAAATGATCATTGAAAGCGAGTATTGCCCTGCGAAAAGGGGAGGTCGCGCACTAGAAGCTGTTTTGATCTTTGGGCGCCTTTTCGGTGCCCATTTGGATAACCACTTCGGCTTTCCTCTCGATGAATCTTCCCTATCGGATATTCCCTTTTCGATAGGCGACGTAATCTCCGAGGTCGATTCCGTTCTCTCATTCGGCTGGTTCGCTTCGTGGCACTGGGAAGTCATGTCTTGGAGTTGTTGGTCTTGCTGGCCTTCGTCTTCCCCTTCAAATAGCCCTACCTCGAAAAATATTGATTGTCGCCCTTCCCTAATCTTGTTAGACATGGGTAATGGCGGGATCGTTAAGCTCTCTCTAAGTCGGTCTTCGGTGACTTGAGAGTTAAACCTCGGGCGCGCTGGACCACTTTGTTGGCTTCCAGGATCAGAGTTTCTGTGCGGACTTCTGGTAGAGGACATGGCGAGACGGCTTTGTGGTAGTATTGGCAATATGTATAGCTACTAGGTACGTAGGGGGTCATTTGGAACTTTGCTTGCGGTGGATATCGCCACTCCCTGTAAAATTGTGGCTATAGGAGGGCGGATGTCATCCTCATATATGAAATGAAGTCACATAGTAACTCTCAACGATTCTTAGAGGTCGTTGAGTTGCATAATGGTGACGGGAGGGCCAACAAGCCACGGCCAAGCATTAGCTATAATCGATCGATATAATAAGCGTCACTAGGTAACAGTTGGGTTATAATCGGTTGGACGCCACCTGGGTGTGAGAGGGTAGCATGTTGGCGTATGAGCATGGACTCTCGACCCTCTACATCATGAATATGGCTATTGATGGCCATGATTGCATCAACTGGTAGCATTTGCTATAAGGGACGATGAAGAGCCGGCGGGTTGGAAGGAGAAACTTGGAAACTTGTTGGATGGAAATCGGTAAGCATGCTGTCGCTCATTTCCGTTTCTGGCCAGGAACCGGCAGCTGGTCCCAAGCGATTGGTTCCGGGGAAATGGGTCAACCAGGGGGTGTTCATCATGACGACATACTCCTAGATCCAGTCGATCTGGCTGAAGTCGGGACTCCGGGCGTAGAGGTATTAAGGTAAGTTTGCTCCTGGCTGTATCCGTAGCTCTTATACTTTCGAAATCCTCTCCCTCAACATGAGTGTCAGATGGTCGAAGCACATCGGAAGATATCGGTGACTTCTTCGGATATCAAGTAGGTAGCGAGTACTTAGATTGTTGAACGGGATGTGGTTTTTACCCCTTTTCAGCAGAGAGGTCAGGTCATATTGACAGACTTTCTAATAAGTAGAACCAAAAAAACTGGAAGTTCTCAAATATCGTCAGTCGCGCCAATATCCACTATGGCATGCAAAATTACATGGCAACCTTGTAGTAAACTCGGAAATCAGTGATATGAGACGATGCGATGAGTAGACAATACGTCGAAATGCAGATGCTGTCCATCAATCGGTAGTGTCACCAAAAAAAAAAGAGAATCATTAATAACACAAGTAAAAATAGTTGCTTTACTTTTGCATCAGTTCAAACTGCACAGCTGTGATTTCATGGTAGTATAATGTGCTGATCATTACCTAGGTCCTAGGTAATGTTGCGGTTTGAGGTTGTTACGTCGTTGTTACGCTCTTACCATTATTATCTTCGATATTTTAAATTTGGGACTTGATTGACTCGGCTGTGTCAATCACCACGGTCGCGACTTCCACTACTTCCACTTTGTGGAATAAAACCATTCAAGTTGATAGATTTATCGTCCGAGACACTAGAATCCAATTTGTAAAAACAAAAAATGACAAAAAATTGACAAAAAAAAGAATAAAAAGTGAATGCGAATGCCCCCACACCGGATTGAACGATGGACCTCAGCATTGGCAATTTGTGACTTTTTCCAAGAACACCTGTATGGTAGGTAATCATGTATAGAATCACGTTTACGAGTGCTGCGCTCTACCACTGAGCTATAAGGGCTTATCCATTGCAACCGCCATTTTCTAAGGCTGCTACCATTGGTCAGTGAAATGGTAAAAGCTAACTATAAGCATTATGGAAAACAATGGAGTAAGCTAAGCTGTGGTTGGTTGGTTGTTTCTTGTATTAATGGTGCACTTGGCGCTAAACAAATGACGGTTTACTTCGGAACTTTTCAGGAATCAGTGATCAGTGTTAGTATTCGATTGCCGAGTTCAAGGTTACCTTGGTAGGCTATTGTTAATTAAATGGTTGTAAGAGCCAAGCGCAACGAAATAATTTCAAACCACATCATCTATGTTGAACTTTCGAAACTCGCAACGGATGGGTCTTGAACATGATTGAAGCTGTTTCATAAAGACCTTGGGAAGTTGGGATATCACAAAAAGCTCTTATCATGCGGTAAAATTAAGTTCGAGTTAGCTTCGGCTTAATGTATCATCTCGTTCAGGGGTCTCGTCCAGGAGCTACCAAGCTGCCAGGTTAGAAAAAAAAAAGGCAAGTCGCGTGAACCAATGTGCCTAATGGCTAGTACTATGCTCACTAGGTAGATTGCTATCCATATCGTGCCATTATCTAACTCTACCTAGGACCTAGGTCCTACCTAGTAGTAGCTCTTGTCCGTCCGGTACCGTGTCTTGATTTCTGTAATTACGGACTTTTCTAGAATTATCGTTCAAGCGTGACATACTTCTTGAAAGAGATATGTACGTATCTAAACAATTCTACCGCATGGGGTTGAGTCAGCTCACCCGGATACCTGGACAACCCGATGGGAATAATATCTGAAAACTTGTTGGACTACGTAGTAAGTCAAACTAAAAAATAATTGGTGTACTTTTTGCTAACGTGAACGTCATCCGACGCCTCATCCGCGCTGCCACGTTCCGGATTGAGTTCCCCAGTTCAAGGTGTTCAGCAAGGATGTTCAGAGCCTTCAGGGGATTCCGTTCAAATGATAAGCATATCGAATCTCTGATTGGATCCGCCGTGGCGGATTTAGGAACGTTCCATCGAGCCACAAAATTTTCCATTATCTCGACCTTATACCACTATCACTATTCAAGAACCAGTAAGATTTGCGGGCTCGTTTATTCCGACTAGATGCTAGTGTAGGTAGTATATGTGGGATATATGTACTATGTAGCGTACCTTAAATCTCGCGCATCGCGCTCAGCCTTAGGATACCATTCAATAAAATCTTTCCGGCCATTCTAACAGCATGGCGAACGATTCCCAAGCTGTCCTCTCGACGGAGGAGAAGGGTCAGCCCGAGCCCACGATGACCACCTCCAACATAGGAGCAGATGTAGCTCTATCTGCCCTCCAGAAAGTCGAGACCCGTAGTGCGTCTCATCCTATTCACTGGATTCCGCTTAAAAAATGGGCTATCATCTGTGTCTACTGTTTGTTGCAAACCTTCATCGCTCTCTCAACCACGACCTATGTCAGCGCCGAGTTTCTCGTTCAGGAGAAGTATGGAGGATCATCTCAAGTTGTAACCCTTGGTCAATCTATGTTTATCGTGGGAACCGCAATTGGTCCAGCCTTTTTGGGTCCTTTATCGTACGTGATCCCGGACGTTGCCGGCTTTAACAGCCTCAAGATTTGGTAGAGCTAAACGGTTATTACTCTATAGTGACATCGGAGGACGAAAATGGGTCTATGTGGGATCAATCGGGGTTTATGCGATTCTGAACATCGGTACTGCGTTGGCGCGTAACTTGCCGATGCTCATTATTTTTCAATTCCTCTGCGGAGCTGCTGGAAGCACGGCTCTGTCTAACGTAGCCGGCACCATCGCTGACCTTTTTGGCGACATGGACGGAGCTGGTCAGCCAATGGCGCTATTCGTCATGAGTGCCAACTATGGCCCGAGTATAGGTTCCCCTATCGGAGAACTAATCGCGGAAAACGAAAAGCTGGGATTGCCATGGATTTTCTGGATTAAGTAAGTTCAGGTCCCGAGTGAAGAGTAGACGGTTTTTAACCTCAGTAGTGTTATCATCGGAGGTGCTTTTGCTATTATTATGTGCTTCGTCCCCGAGACACTCCCACGGGTTGTAATCAGCAACGCGGCAAAGAAAAACAAGTCGACAGACCCGACGGAAGTGGCCGTCGTAGAGGAACATGTAGATGTTCTCCGAGAGATGCGATTCGTTACCTCGATGGCTTTCCGCATCATGCTGACTGAGCCGATCGTTACATTTCTCGGTATTTATAATGGATTCACTTACGGGCTGCTCTTCTTGTACCTGGATGGAGTATTCGACGTATTTGCGGTCAACAATGGCTTATCGTAAGTGCCGATTATTTGTTTTTCTGGGGAGCATTGATCTAACATGATTAGATATATCGATGCCGATCTCACGTATCTCAACTTTGTCGTTAGTGTAACTGTCATGTTTGCTTTCGTTCCAGTCCAGACATGGTTCTACAAGCGCGACAGGAAAAATAACGGCGGTGTTGGCCGACCGGAAGCTAGGTTTTTGACATCGCTACTATTCGTTTGGGGTTTCCCGGTATCTCTCCTGTGGTTCGCCTTCACCAGTGACGGCAGTGTCTCGTATTGGTCTCCAGTTGTGGCTGGTGGCTTACTGGGTTTCTGTGACCCTCTTCTTTGGCTTGCAATGCTTAACTACATTGCTGATTCGTACACCAACGTTGCTGGATCGGCGATAGCAGCCTTCCTGATACCATCTTTCCTGATTGCGGCTGGCTGTTGCCATGTTGGTACGTGCTTATACCATGAAACGTTTTCAGAATGGAGTCTAACGTCGAGAAATCTAGGAATCGTCATGTTCGAAAACTTGAGCACCAAATGGGCAATGGCCATACTAGGGTTCATCTCATTTAGCCTTGTCGCATTGGTATATGTTTTGTACTTTTTTGGACCTAGAATTCGATCATGGTCGAAGTTGGCGAGGAAGTGAGAGAATTTAACATCATAGATATTATAAACTTGACTATCAATGTGTTTGTCTATATCTTGGCGATTGATGTTGGAATTGGCATTTTACTAGACGCTGGGCATTTCCAGTATTTGGGCGGAACTTCGACTGCCAAGATAATTTCCAATCCTGTCACGTGATGGACAGGTAATCTCCACAAAACATCCATAGTCTTCTTGACAGCTCTCAACCATTTTTACCTTTACCTACCTAGTACTACCTAATACATCTTTGGCTTCAAGACCGTACTAAACAATACTTATTCTCAATGAAAAATCTTTAGATTGACGGCTGTAAGAACGACTAGTAGGAGACAGGTATAGAGCATTCAATGATTAAAGAACGCTTCTCACTATCAATGTCGAGAAATTACATGCATGCCTTGAATTTTCTTCCGAACGAACGGTTTTCTACTATAAATAGGGTACCTTATATGTGAGCATGAAATTTGATATCGAAAAATACTAGTACGTAGTATTCTAGGTACAGCATATGCTAGGTATTAATACCTGTCGATTCTGCTAGGGCCAGCCTAGATCAAATACAGGGCCAAATTGCTAAGCCCTATGCGGCCTGGAACGTCGCTTAGACGACATGGGCGCTGAAAGCCGTAGGCAAGATTTCCTCAGGCCTACTATGTAAGAGGTCCACGGATCTAATTTAGGCAACAATAAAGTCCAATTGGTGCCAGTCTTTTGTTATAGTCCTTTTTGTTCCAAGGTTATTAATACGTTTGTTAGTACATAGTATAGCGTGCTACGCTCATCAAGTCAAGTCAAGCCAGCTACGATTCTTTCCAAATCACGAGATCGATCATTTGATGTGAAATACGTGCTTATATGCGTATAAGCATGCTGTACACCTTCGTACTTAATATAGATTCTACTCTTAAATCTACTATAGGCTTCATAGAGAAAGGAAAGGGGGGAAAAGCAAGTGCTGCGCCGCAGATGCCTTGGAAAATTTTGAGTCACTGAATGGAAATGAGATCCGCTAACAGCAACTTTGCCCCGTGGGCGCGAAGGGTCTTCCTGACGATGACCGGGGTAAGAAAGGCTTGGCTATCCGCTATTTTCCATAAAATCTGTTGATAGCCTCCCCCCTTTCGATTTCCTCTTCTTCCTCGTCGATCCTTTCCTGTGTTGTTTCTTCCAGGTCGTCGCTCGTTAATACTGACCGTATATCTTCAACTTCAAGTCTTTCGCTTTTAAATTCATATACTTAATCTTTTAATAATAAGATCATTTTGCCTTCAATTCCGGTTTAGCATATTCTGAGTCTGAGTCAACGAAGTGGGAGTTACCAATTGCGAATATATACCATCGCAAAAAATGGCTTCAAACGAGGCGTCGCAACCGGCCACTGAGGCAAGGAATGATGCAATTTCACCTATAGACAATTCGACGAGAGCAAACCAGGAGAGCGTGCCCGCGACTATCCAAGCGCCTCCCGTTGCGCGTCAGCAACCCAACCAACTGCCTTACGCGCCGTTCCCATACCCACCGCAGCCATACTATACCCAACCTGTTCGCCTTCTCCCCAGATTTTCGAAATCCTGGACTCACAGCAAACTCACCCTCACTCTGTCTCTCGTCATCGTCGGTATCATAGTCATGGCCCTAGGCTGCGTCTTCGTCACCGATGCCACCTACGAGGGCTGGGTCGCCGCATATGCACTTCCCATCAGCATCGCCTCGATCCTGTGGAATGGTGCTGAGTTAATTACCTTCGCGGTTCGCTCGCGCAAGAACGAGAAGCGTGGTATTCACCCTGGCGCGCACGTCGGACTACATTTGTGTTTTTGGATCGCCTGCGTGTTTGCCGCGCTTTTGTCCATCACCGAGATCATCGTAATCAATTCAGACCTGAGAGATTGCCAGGAGGAAAAGAACAGCAGGTACTCGTACTCCTACAGCAACTGCGAAGATTACGACGGCCTCGATATGAACGGGCGATACCTTCCAATGATGCGCGCGATAGCTGCGTTCTTCTGCTTGATGGTGCTCCTTCACTTTATCTTATTTGTATTCGCTTGCATCGACACGCACA